AGTCAGTCTGGTGTACACAACTGTCTCGAGGATCTTGGAGGCAAATTGCAGGATATAGGGCGGGAGCTGGGGTCAAGGCTGGGCTTTTTCAGGATTGGGGTTGCAGTTGCATGTTTGAAGGGTGAGGGGAAAGGAAGAGATTGAGAATTTTAGTGAGAGGAAGAGCAAGAGAGGGACCGGAGCAGAGAAGAAACCTCTTCTGCTGTAGCAGGTGTGAATGAGTGTAGAATGGTGGAGGGAATAGGGTTGAGTGATGTATTGGTAGGGGAAAGAGAGAGATTAGCGATATCTTCTGATTGTAGAGATCTTCTCAGTGAAGTGAGATGGAAAGTTTGTGGCGGATAAGGTGGTAGAAAGAGGGGGAGTAAAAGGGCGAAGAAGAGCATCAAAAGTGTGAAATAGGTGTTTGGGTTATGAGGGTGTTAAAGTAATTGAGTTTTGCAGCGGAAAGAGCCAGGCTGTAGGAGCGCAGCATAAATTTATAGTGGAGAAAGTCAGATGCAAAGTGAGACTTTCTCCAGTAGCGTTCAGCAGTTCTAGAACATTTTTGGAGGTAACGGGTCAGCTTGGTTAATTGTGGGCGCTTGCTGCGTTTAATTGTAGGAGATGCCATGATACAGAGTTGAGAGGAGAGAGTTGAGTTGTAGAGTGAGGTTGCAGAGTTGGGGCAAGTTATATTTGAGATGGTTAAAAGGAGAGTTTGGAGTCTGGTGGAGAAATGCTGGAGATCAAGGCAGTTGAGGTTGGTGTTCCTCTGCTTCTCTAGATTGAGTCACTCTGTTAAAAAGAAAAATGAGTTAAGCGCCCCATTTTTGCAGTGCTGTCCCAGCATCTCCACAACAGCCGCTCCTCTTTTCATCTGTGATCCAATCCAGTGCTTCTCGTTCATTGAAAGTGCAGCACTCTCATAGAGAATCATCAAATCGCATGCTTCTGTACAAGAACCATTCAAAGAGTTTTGCAAAACCAAACTTGAAAGCTTTCTAATATTGAACATATGCACCAGGAAAGTGTCTCTAAATGCTTACTAAATCTAAGACTGACAGCCTCTAGAGACAAATATAAGCACTCCAATTTCTTCAGAATGGTAGTGTTTACATTTGTCAAAAAAAGTCTGTGCCCCAAATCCACTATATTTAAGTGAACTTGTCATGGTACACCTATGTTATACTCCTTTTTTTTTTTTTTTACAGATCATAACATTTCATATATATCCAGAATGTTTAGATTGGGGTGAGAAATAAAATAGGTCTTTCTCTCAGCTGTCAATCAAGATTGCTATACATCCCAACGGCCTTTGATGGCCACGCACCATTGAATCTTTCATCTATAATGAATTTCTATTAAGACCTTATTGACTCACTGGGATTGAGGAAACGTGTTCACAGTACACCAGTAAATTACGGTGTGTGATCCTGTAAATCAGAAAGGAGACAGAGTGGTAGCTACATGACTACTGGACAAAAAAAACAGGGGGCAACCCTAAAGGAAGTAGTAATTTATAAAGAATGAAATAGCATTTACTGTCCTAAGAATAATCTAGATATTTAGATTCGCATCTTACATTATTCTTAGGACAGTACATGCTCTTTCTTTCTTTATGATCATGTAATTCACTCCAAAGGGTGACTGCTGCCAGAGATTTATGGGAAAATATATAAATGACCTTCTTAAGGTATGTTTTTCTCTAAGTCATTCAGTGGTAGCATTCATTAAAGAGCTTCCTTGTACTTTTAACTTGTAAGTTACATGAATAGTGGCTTTCTTTGGCCATTATGAACTTGGAGCGTATTTAATGTAGTTTGGGTGGAGTATTAAATTGAACATGTCTTTGAATGCAAAATATATTCTGAATGTCTCTTTTACAGTAAATGCCTGAGCACCGATCAGCCTCCAGTGACATCTATTTTGTCTTTTAAGAACTGGCTGAGATATTTCAGCCAATCTTTCATGTCTTATTCCAATAAATAGAAGACTTGATGATCACCCATTTGTGTTTTAATGTTGCATAGTTGATGAGACACCCCTGTAACATCTCTGGCAGCAGAGGGGCAAATCTCTGCATGTATTCTAGTGCCCTAGTGGGAAACGGCATATTGTTATAGCAGGGAAGCCAGTAATTGGTCCACAGTCCCATTATTATCATTTATATAGCTATTCCGCAGCATGTTACAATCATGGAAAGGGGATGTTTGAAGGTGAAGAAAGCCCTGCTCAAACGAGCTTACAATCTAAGAAGATTGTGAGGTATGGAGATATTGTTGGGTATCTTGTCCAAGGACACTTACTGGTAAGGTGGTCCTAAGCACCATAACAACTTTGCAATGTTGCAAAGTTTAGAGAGTACACTGCAACCACTCTGAGAGTGACTTAGAAATTCAGCAATTTATGAAAATTGCTTCAGCTATAGGAGAGACACTAGAGCTGTTATTCTGTCGGCTCTTGATATTTTGGAGGACTGCATGAAGTGGAGTAAATGTCTCTAAAGAATGCTATTTCAGGATCATGAAATATTATCAATATTATTAATTATTCGTGCGTTATCCACTTAATGCGTTAAAAATAGAGGGTAATTTTCAAACCATTTAAATAGGATGTGTCACAATAACAAGTGGGTTGTATTAAATAAATACAATATAGTAGGAAATGTTAACAGAGGCTTGATACCTGAATTTTTCACACTCCGTGCATTAAAGCGGTAAGCACCAGAACCATTACAATAGCTCCTGCACTGTCACTCAGGTGGTCTTGCGATCTTTGCGTAACATTAGTTTCCCTTTAAGACAAAAGCTTGCAGTTGTCTTATAACACAGGATCAGGATGAATTCCTGGAAAGAAGTCTGGAATCCTTGCTTTTTGAGCTTTCCATTGTAGGTGCTGTTTTTCTCAGTGTGGAATAATCAGACCTTTGGCACACGATGTTGAAGTGTTTGCTATCCATGTGAATGATCTCACTAGACATTTACTCTGCACAGTTAAAGTATTGTCATTTTTCCGCTGCTTTTAGAAAGGCGAGGAAGGAAGTATTCTGGACATAACATTAAGAAAGGAAGCAGAACAACAGCCGATGCCAAACAATAAATTACACTTTACCCTCCCCCCATCCCCTTTAATCCACTACAATTGTAGCTTTTTGCATTGTTAAAACACAAGAGGGCTATAAAAAGTATAATTCTGTGACTATTTAAATGCGGTGTGTCATGATTTACGCCATGTCTTTGGGGAAAATATAGATCTATTCATTTCATGTGCTTTTATTCCTGCCCCTGCTAAAACATTGATGAGCTTTAATAATGCCAAGAGAATTGATATTTCCCCTGCTGCTAATGTCGCCCACAAAAAAAATGTGGGCATGCGTTGTTGTGGTGCCAAGAGGCAGACTATTTCCAAAAAGTTAGACACTTCACTTATTTCACAAGTCAGTTTTGTTCCATTTCTGGCATTATCCATTGGACAAGAGTGTCAGATCAGCAAATTAATGATGCGCAGATCAAATTTATATATGCACACACAGACAAAATGCTGATTGAATTTGCTAAACAGGATGCTTACATTTGTATATACAATGTTGAGGCTACAGCTTTAGGTTATATTTTTCATAAGGGGATGGGGAGGGGTATTGGTTTTGTTTCTCTTTAACCTACTCAACATTTTGCGGTTTTGTTTTCTCACGTATTTTACACAAAGAAAATTAACCATACATTGGAAAAGCTTTGTAAATAAATCATGAATTTTTGATCATTTCCTCCTGGGAACGTTGACATTTTTAGATGAATTATTGCAAAAAATATTGCTTAATAAAACTATGTAGGAGTGATAACTATCTATTTAGTACTTTTATGACTGGTAGTACTTCCTGCAAATCTGTTCAGACATAGATAGCCTGCCACCTTCAGGGTAACACTGGTAATGACAAGATATATGTTATATATGCTTAAAAGGGCTTGTATACATATAAATGGACCATATCAAAAAAGTGAAGTCATATTTGTATGACAATATAGTACTGAAATATGTGGTCTCAGTTTAATTTATGTTATTCCAATTAAAAATATATATAATAAAAACATCTGCACTCCAGAGTACTATATCACTGTAGCTGGTGCTAATCAGCCAAAAAGAAATACAAAATACTATATGAATATGTGAAAATGAGTTTATGTTTAAAAAATAATATGTAGCTTTTATTTGCTTTTAGAAAATGAACAAATGAAAAAATAAAAATAAACCATCATGATAAAAACAACTAACAAAATGACTCCTTTATGGAAAAATAATTGTAAAAAATAATAATTATTGTGTGTGTGTGTGTGTGTATATCCTATAGATTGTAAGCTCGTTTGAGCAGGGTCCTCTTCAACCTATCGTTCCTGTAAGATTTTTGTAATTGTCTTATTTATAGTTAAATCCCCCCTCTCATAATATTGTAAGGCTCTACGGAATCTGTTGGCGCTATATAAATTGCAATAATAATAATGTATGTGTGTGTGTGTGTGTGTGTGTGTGTATGTATGTATATGTGTGTATGTATATATATATATAATATATATTATAAAATGTATATGTATACACACACATATCTCTACACACACAATATAATTATATTTATTATTTTTCCCACAAAGGAGTTGTATTGTTAGTTGCTTTTATCGTTATGGGATATTTTTTATTTTATTTGTTTGTTTATGTTAATGCTCTCTCACTTCAAAGTGATTTGTGTTGATGACTATATATATATATTTATTATAAGACAAAATCTAGGACAACACTGTTTTCTGTAAACTTGTATGTTAAAATAAATATTTACTGTGATGTTTGTGACGAACCAGAACCTTTTCTAGTATTTTTTTTTTCTTCAATTGAATGATCAACTCTGGTGATCTTTTCCACTATGTATTATTTTTACAACTTTTCCATACATTTTTTCTTTTGCGTTCCTTTTTGAGTAGCACATCTTGTTTATTACTATTTCTGCCTTTTGTTGCTTTCATAACTTGATTTCTACTAGTACTTCATGGCTTTCTGACTATGTTGATTGATTTTTCTTGTAGTAAAATGTTCTCTTCTATTATCTTGTAGGTCCAGGGGGCCAGTTTCCGAGGCTGGAAGGATGTAACCTCTATATTTAACAAAGATGATGAACAGCAGTTGCTAAAAGGATCGAAATCTCCTAAATCTCCTAAATCCAATAAGTAAGACTAATTTGTACTTCAGAAAAAAAGATGTTGTGCAACTTCAGTTTATATTTAAGTGTTCCTGATATAAAAATGATGGGTTCCGCTGAGAATTCGTTAAGCTAGGAATCATTAAGTAAGAGAAATGCAAATTGTAGGCCTCATCACCTAGAAAACTAGCGTGGATTTGAGAGTTATTCAGCTCTTCAATTTTGGCCTAAAATTTAATTACCTTTGACAATATCATCAATTCTCTGTTTGAAGAACAAGTCTAATTTTATAGGAGTAACATTTCAAGCTCTGTAACGAATAGAACTATTATGGTACTGGTGACATCAATCTCCTGCCTTTTTTTTCCTGGTTCTAAACTAGAGAATTTTACTAGTTGGGCTACTTTGAATTTAAATTTGAAACTCACGTTGAATTCTCGCTTTAGTAAATAACCCTGTAAATGTGTATCTGAGATGTAGCTAGTTATCCATTTGTGGTGTGGATAATATAGGTCTTCCTTAAAGAACCTCTTTAGTCACCGAGGCCATCTTGCCTCCACTGAGGTATAATCCGCAAACTAGTAAACTTTCTATTGAAACACATGATTTTAAAGTGTGGTGACACATTTTTATTTTTTTATTTTTTTTTAAACGAGCACTGTGGTGTTAGGAATACAAATATGTACTCCTAGCTCTATATTGTTACAGTTTAGGTGATAGGACCAGCAATGCCAGGGCTTGAAAAGTTTGTTTGTTTGTTTACCTTTTCTCCCTTGCAGTGCTGGTCTCCTCCACGAAGTTCCAACCAAGTTTTCAGCTGTAGGGTTAAGCAGGGGATTAAGATGAAGTGCTCTGAGCGCCTGTAGTGTTCATTTAATCCAGTTTTACTGAAGTCGGTTGGGTATTTTCTGAAAAGCTGGACAGATCTGCATGTTCAGGGATACTTTGTAATGGAAACCAGGGATACTTATACATATAAGTGTTTTATTTACAAGCAGCGCTGTCACTTGAACCATTAACTGCTTTGTTGAAATAACCAAACGTTACCACTAGGGATTGTTTACATTCACAACATTTTTGTTTGTCAGACCATGGTCTTATTTACATGCGTCACTGTTGGTCACTAGAGGATAATTAAACCGTGCTCAAATATAGCTCAGACTTTGGTAGTAAATTCCTTATTGTCTTTTCACAAGCCATTTTCCTTTCTTGTTCCTTATGGGCCTTGCTTTTTCAGTGCACAGATGGGCATTTACAGTCCAACTTTGTTTCTTTATCACTGGCAACGTTTCTGCTTTCCAGATTGCATTATTAGATTTTTATTCAACAATCCTAATTGTTAACATATTTTATAAACGTTGATTGTTTTTGTTTTTAATATCTTTCTCAAATTGAGAGTAATCATTTGCCCTTACTGTCCAACATATTAACTGTACCACGGACATCCTGTCATTTTACTGATAATCATCTGTGATTCCTTATACACGTTGGTGTCTGCCCTTTTTATATCTTTTGTAGCGATATTGCTGTATAATCACATTTTTACTTCTAAAGACTGTTGATTACTTCTGCATTCCCATCTTCTGCCACATATTTCTAACAAGCAATTTATGTCCTTCACGTTTCTTTCCTCATGTTAAAATGCTAGTCAGCTTTTCCTTTTAACCCCATCCACAACTGCATTATTTAACATAAATACATTTATAAAGAGTAACATTTATGTGAAACGCTGAATGCATCGGTTTAATCAACATGGTTCTAGAACACAAAAATGCTGTATGTAGCGATGCCTAAGAAATCTGGAATGATGTGCTTTTAAGGAATCTTAATAAGTTAATTATTAGTTCATTCTTTGAAAATATAAATGCAGGGATCATATGACCACATATAGATCGGAAGGAGTATGTGAGATTTTACAAAATGCCCTGTTTAGCACTCTTTCTGACAGGTTCAGTAATGGTAGCGTAGAAGTACAAACCACAATTTTGTAACCTTGCAACAACCAGGCATTTGTGTTTCAAAATGCATTAAAGTCTGTGATTACAGCTTGAAAATATGCATCCATTGCCCTCCCACGTCTCCCAGCTGCTCTTGCTGTATTGATACAGTACATTCATTTGACCTTGCAGCTTATGTGTGTGTCTGTTTGTGTTAGTTATTGTTCCCCTGTGTGAGGCACGAGGACTGATCAGAGCATTAGCGGATAAATTATCATTATGCTAGAAAGAAAAAAAAAACACATAAAACACCATTTATTTGCTTAAACATCTTCTGGATCAGTAAAAATGGTTAAATGATGATAAATTTCACAGATTGGGTATTTTTAAGCCTCTTTAATTATGCAGCTAATTTGTCAGTTATTTGAAAGACTGCTAAAAATAGCAGACTCCATGTTTATCCTCACTTCAGAGTTAGTTTAGTTCTATTCTTAAATTGCACAATTCTATCATTAGCCCTCGCACTTCTTCCTTTAGTGGAAAAATAATTGCAGTTGACTTTGGTTTTGGTTGGCACTGATATTTACTGTGTGTGAATACTACATTCACAATGCTTTTATCCTGATGTCAACAGGAAACATTCAAAATTAAAAGGACACTATGAGCACCAAAACAACTTTAGCTTAAAGGAACACTATAGTGAAATACAAGCATGTGTTCCTGACACTGTAGATTTAAATAGCTGTTTAGGTGACCGCCCCCATTTGTCACCGATACTTGGCTCTGCCAATCCCACAGGAAAGCATTGAGAAGCTATCGTGCATGCACAGCAAAATGCCACACTGTACCAATCAGCAACTCCTCTTAGAGTTGCATTGAATAAAGTAAACACACTTTGCTGTCAGATCTGATTGAAAATTAAACAATTTTTTTTTTTTATCATACAGCCTGAGTCAGTCACAGCCACTAGATGTGTAGCCAGGGCTGCATAAACAGAAACAAAAATGAATGAACTCCTAAATGAAAAAGTTGAGAATTGAGCAGTGACCTTGCAGGGGCATGATCTATACACCAAAACTGCTTCAGCTGGTTTGATGCTTGGAATATGCCTTTAAAGGAAGAACCGTAGAGTGGTATTTTGTGCCAACTCTAACATGACGTCATTATTTTAATTGTCATAAATATTTATAACAACGTTTTGCAAATTATTATTGTTTATAGAGCTCCTGTGAAAACTAAGGAGGAGGTGAAGACAGAGAAAAAAACTGGTTTTTGGGACAGTTTGGCCATTAAACAGAACATTCAACCAAAGAAAGCGGATGAAATTGAAGGTTGGGAACCCCCACAAATTACAGTAGAGGAGCCCCCGTCTGTTCCAGAAGATATGTTGGAAGACAGCAATTCCTGGCCAGGCTGGGAAGACGAAACCAAAGGATCTACTAAATATACCACCCTGATGAGTTCAGGAAACAGCTCCCGTTGGAGCATTAAATCAGCTGGTAAACTGGTTAGTATTAGAAGACGGAGCAAAGGCAACCTCACTGAAAGCTGGGAGGAATTAGAATGACAACTGCAACAAGCTAGCAATATGCAATCTCTACCCATTCAGATGGGCCAGAGTCACCCTTTCCATGTTGTCATTTTATACCAAAATCTCCTAAGTATTGTATACCTATGTACTTTTATAGTTATCAAAATCCAAAAAATACAAATTTGCACTTCTATTTTTTTGAATCAGTACAAAGGTATTAATAGTTCACTCTTTTTCCACATAGAAACAAAATATCCACCTGTGAAATATTGTGGTGCCTTGATTGTGCCTACATTACACATTCAAATATAAAACTTGGTTTTACCAAAAATAAAAGTAATTCCTTAGTGAATGTATACACTGGTTGTAATTTAGACTGCCTTATACTGTTAACAGTAAAGGTTTTTGCCTTGCACATAAAACTGTCAAGTGCCTGTTTTTCACCTTGATAACGTATTTGTGATGCACAGCTTAATTTATTGATAATGTTAATTTACTTGTTTCCATTGGTTTTTATTGTTATTATAAGACAGAAGATGAAAGACTTTATAGACCGGCAATTATTAGGAAATAAGTGTTTTAGTATTTTATTTCAGGAAATAGAGAGAAAGACATGAATATTTGAGACTGAGTACTTTCTGTTCTTAAATTACTACTTATTACATTATTATATTCTGTATAATTGTATAGTGTCTCTGTCAAAGGGAAACTATATGTCCAAAAATACATTTCATTGTATCATTAAAAAAATTCATTTATTAAAATTTGCACAGATAAGCCCTGAATATGTGCTTTTCATTAGCTGAAGTACTGGCTCACGCAGCTGGTGAAGATGTTAGCTATTGTCTAATCAAATGCTTCTCGTATTGGAGAGAGCATCTCCAGTCCATAACTTTTGATCGAGATGGATGGTTGTATTAAGATATAGGGATTCTTATTTTTAAAAAAACCTATTGTAGGGTTGTATTAGTTCAAGTGCCGCTTTTAAGTATTAATTTTTGTGTGCCCATAAAAATGGTGCCTTGCTAAAAAAAAAAAAAGGTTGATTGGAGTTAAAATCCACATAAGCGGTTTAGTAAGTGGTTGCCTCACTATTATATTACATCACATGTATACTTCAACTCCCACTAGCCTCAGTCAGAATCTCATTGAACACTGTAGTCCAGCAGGTGCAGGCAACTTCTTTCACTCAGTTTAACGAGACTTAACTTCCCAAAAGTGCGGCTTCCATTTCTTTATCTATCTGACCTTTCCACTGAGGACAGAGGTCAAAACTAGAACCAATTTATGGCTTGTTTGTTCTGGGTTTGTTTTTTTGTTTTTTTTATTAGTGAGCTTAGAGAGTTAAGTTGCCTAAAAGTGGGGCAGTAGGATCTTTAAGACGGTGTGTTTAACTCACTCCGCCACGGGCAGCCTGTCCAAGGCATCTGATGGTAGAATGCTGTGTGTGCTTGCACCAGAGGCAAAAGTTGCACAAAATTTATAACCAGGAAGAAAGTATTCCAGCTAGCTAACTGACAGCCCAGGAAGGTGAGTCTACATACAGAAAAATTGATATTTATCTCCACAATTATTATTATTATTATTATTATTATTATTTTTTAGATACAGGATTTCTGCGCCATAAACACTTCATTAAGATGAAGTATGTATGGTGCTCAGAGTGAGCCTTTAAGCTGACCAAAGTAAAGAGTTTTTCATCGTGACATTTAAAACGTATTTTAATGTTTTCTCTTTTTAATTTGCTTTTGTGTGTGTGTGTTTTTATGCTTTGTGATGTTTATTTTCTCTAGTACGGGATTTGATGACTAGCCATTGTTCATTATGACTCGTAACATCACCCTTTTGGATCAGATTTGCTAGTTATGATATGAATTGTATGTTAACTGCTGAGATTCCAAAGCTTAATTAAGCAAGATTTTAAACTTTGAGCAATCAATACACTGGGTCCTCTTTAACTTAATGTGAAGCAGGGTGTATTGAAAAGGATCCATTCTTTAAAGTAAAGTATGTTTTTAACCTGCACATTATAAAATGAAATACACTGGTTGTTCCAAATGATTGTGTTTTATTGATCATCTATAAAGTCAATCCTATATTTTGCACCTAGGGAAGGAAAATTCTCCCAAACAATGTGTTTTGTGAGCAATAAATAACCTGGTACTTTGCCTGGTTTTCCTTGGAAGTCTTTGGGCTTTCCTCTTTTTGCTAAGCAGGCAGACAGTTTAGCTCACAATTGCCTTCAATGTTTAGGATGGTTCGGTTCAACAAGGTTTAAATTGGTCTCACTCATTTTGGGCTAATCCATTTAGAAGAGAAAATTGTGGAATTCAGGCCATCGCCACCATATCCAGGTATGCCAATAAATTCATTAAAACATGTTGTCCGTGTATCCATGAGGACTAACTGTTTCTTCCATTTTGTAAAGAGAATATTCCAAAGATTGATTCCACTGCTGTAGATATAACTTTTGTACATACTTAGAAAGTTATCACAGATGATTAAAATTTCTTTTTAGTGAAACTGTGGTCAATATTTACCACATTATAAAAATTTGCTTGTAAAAGTGATATGTATCCAGTGCATGGATAGCTGTTGAATCTTTACCAGGGCGAAATAGTTCAGACTGAACACTTTAGTCAGTCATTCCTTGCAATGTAGCATTGATTCTTTGTTGAAGACATTATTTGTTAGTTGTCACTATTGCAATTCCTGGATTAATATAAAACCGAGAAAAGAAAATCTTTGTAATTTGTGTTTTCTTTTTTAAAATCATGAATAAAGAATTCAGTTGAAGCAAAAATTTTGGTAATATTTTTATTTCCGATTTACAGCAGTAAAGAATAACATTTAGTAGATGCGTCCCTATGAGATGATCTCAGGTATATCGAGAAAACAATTCTATATGGTTAGAGATCCTAATATATAGTCCATAAGTCTCATATAAAACATGAAATATGTAATAGTGATACAAAATGATGGAAAAGATAATAGATAACCGATTTTATCACCACTTACAGTTATATTGTCCTCATCTATATTTCAAAAGAGGACAGTTTAAACATACATTTGAAATTAAATTAGGGTATAAACTTATGAGTGTATAACCTTAAGAAAATGATTATGCCGCTTTACAGAGTATATAACTGCAAGGCAGCGGCCGCAGCACCTATCTTGAGAAAGCCCTCATGAGAAGGGCGAAACGCGTTGAAGGTGCCGGACGTTACCCTCAGTACTTGGTATTACATATGAGGCTTCAGTATCCAGCGGGACTTACCTCCAGCGTTCCTCCGAGTTCAGATCATGGACGGTCTGCTTCAGTGCACAAGGCAGATGCTGTTTCCTCTGGAGGATCTGGTTTTCCTATGGTATACCTGGACAAAGATACTGCTTACCAAGCTGGGAAAGTGGTCCTTAAAGTATAAGGGCAGTAAACATACAGTGTTACACTATTTTTTTGTTTCCGCAATTTGTACAGTATACCATGGGGTTCAACAGTATACCATGTACAGTATACCTTGTACAGTATACCATGGGGTTCAACACTGATATGGATACAGATTCTGCCTATTCCCCTCTGTGACTATTCTCTTTTCCATCATTTTTTATCACTATTACATACTTCATGTTTTATATGAGACTTATGGACTATATATTAGGATCTCTAACCATATAGAAATGTTTTCTCGATATCCCTGAGATCATCTCATAGGGACGCATCTACTAAGCGCTGACACTATATATTGCATTTTGATTTTGAGAATTTGGGAAGTTCTATTTGTGTTTTAGCTGGTGGTAAAAATTACATGTCTAAGGTATTTTTATTCATCACAAAATTCTGTATATCAATTATACAGTTTTAGGTTATATTTTTAACTACATTGTATACCTTAATTGATACTATATTTTTGCGCTCTCTTCTCTGCAGTCAAAGAATAACATTTAATAACCAGGTAACACAGGTAAGTTCAAATTATGCAGAAGTGATGGTTTAAATGGAAAGGGTAACTTTCCAGGATTTTTAAAATTTTATTTACTTATATTATTTAAAAATATGTACTTGTGTTGTGTGAAAAAAATAAAACTAGCAGGGTTATTCACTAAAGTGAGAATTCCAAGTGAATTTAAGGAAGATTTAGAATTTAAGGTCAAAATTGCCAAACTTTTACTAATTATTTGTCAGCTATGCTTTCAGTTCAGCTACTATGGCCTTAAATTTGTAATTCACTGCTTTTTCAGAGAAAAGGCAGTGTTACATTGACCCCTAGGGACCCCTAAATGGCCACTGGAGGAGCGTCCTGAGGCAGTGCTGCACAGTAGAAAGCACTGCCATTAAGCATATTTACATATCTATAGACACTGAATTTTCCTCATATAGATGCATTAATTCAGTGCATCTCTATGAGGAGGTGCTGATTGGCCAAAACAGTGTTTGCCCCCCTCCATCCTGCATTCTTGCAGATTTCAGCCAATCCAATTCTTTCTCTAGGGGAAAGCATTGAATTGGCTAAAAATCGCAAATTCAGATGTCACCAAGGAGGCGAATCGGGGATGTGGCCAGCGTTGGCGAACCAACGCATCGCTGGAAATAAGGTGAGTTTTAACATTTTCTAAGGGGGGGGGGGGCAAGCCGCCTAAATGGTGGGTTAAACACTATAGGGTCAGGAATACATGTTTGTGTTCCTAACCATTATAGTGTTAGTTTTTAAACAAAGTTACAAACTTGTGGGGGCGGGGGTTATTAAAAACGTTGGGTGAACGTTTACAAAAGTGCAAAATATGCATAGAAATTGCCACATTTATAAATTAACAATGTTACACACACATGGCTGTCAATCAGACAACTGGTCATATTTTTAGAAAATTTAAAATACTAAAGTCTCAAAAGATGAGACTCAAAGCTCGTTTTAAACAGAGTACAGGAAATTAATAATACATATTGAGACTCAGGAATTCAGCGCTGAGTACTGGTATTAAAGATTACCCCTATAATAATAATACAGGTAGAACAAAGTAAAATCCCTATAACTCCTAAATTAAACACCTTCGAGGGTGTTCTATACTGTCCCTTAGACCAAATAACTCAGTGCTGAAGAAAATAATAAATAAAAGGTGAATCAAACACCTAGTGCTACCATGTGTGAAAACAATAAGAGAACCCGACGCGCGTTTCGGTGCGTTTAGTTGCACCTTCGTCAGGGGCTAAGAGTACCTCAGAAAGTGAAGTGACTTTTAAACCTTCAAACAGCCAATCAATGACTTTTACTCTGGATCTGCATTGCTCTCACTACTGCTGCTTTCTAAGCATTTGTAATGATTCTTGATCTCTAGCTACATACTACTAGGGACAGCAAAGAACACCCTTGAAGGTGTTTCATTTAGGAGCAATAGGTCAGACCCATTTTTCTATATTCATATCCCTATTGGTAGTCTCTTTTGTTCTACATGTATTATGGTTATCTACTTTATCCCACCTTTGATGCCAGTACCTTAAGTTTTTCTATTTTCCCTATTGATATTGGTACATCTATCCATGTCAAATTTGAGTGCAAATTTGGATTGTTCCATATATAGTGCCTTTCCTTGTAAATTACAATAAAGTATTATTTATTTTTTATTATTTATTTTTGGCACCTTTTGGAAACAGTATGCTATTTATTATAGGGGTAATCTTTACTACCAGTACTCAGCGCTGAATTCCTGAGTCTCAATATGTATTATTAATTTCCTGTACTCTGTTTAAAACCAGCTTTGAGTCTCATCTTTTGAGACTTTAGTATTTTCAATTTTCTAAAAATTTTATCTTGGGTACAAGCCCTTTAATTGGTGGATCTGGAACCACCATTCTGACCTTTGTGTGTTCTGCTCTCACATTTTGTGAGATTTGGACACACTTCTATCTTCTTGTATTTAACTGGTCATATTACCTCCTGGTTGTTTTAGCTCAGTGGAGATAAATTCAAGAAGCAGCAATTGCCCAGAGCACTGCCTTGCAAAGCAGTCTTATTGAGCTGCATTATAAAGTCTGTGATTGGACAGCCACAGAAAGTCTGGATGGTGTTAGAAGTGGAGGGCTTGCTAAGGCTGCAGACAAGAGTTCTGTAATTTTTGCATGCTGCTTTTAGATATAACCCCAATGAAAAAAGTATAATAAAAGTACAAAATTAAATGCATGCATGTTTTTACTGTGTTAAATCTACGAAACTGTGTGTGTGTGTGTGTGTGTGTGTGTGTGTGTGTATGTATGTATATATATATATATATATATATATATATGTATATGTATATGTATATATATATATATATATATATATGTATATATTTTAATTTTTGCAGGCAGCCTCAAAGACTGAAACAACTTTGCATCCTTTACAATTTGATTTTATATAAATATGTAAAGATAAACAAGTGAGATAAAATATGTGGGAAATCATTTGTGGTAAAAATTGGAAACCACCAAGCATGAAACAGTTGGCAAGCAAATGAATTCATAACACACATTTACATCCGAAGAACTTCTTCTCCAGAATGTCAAGTCATTTCTACAATCCAGCAAAAATTCAAAAGGATCTAGGATGTGAGAACAAAAAGCAGCTTCTTACACCGCACATTTTAATGATTTGTTGGTGGGTTTTTTTTTTCTCTAAATTGCTTTTTATTATTCTTAAAAATGAGAACACTACTGTTATGATCAATAATCTTGTACACAGTGAGAAAATTCAGTTCACCCAAATAATTTTTTCCCCAAAAATAAAAAAATGTATGGGATGCCCGAAATCCTGATTCTGAAAGGAATCCGGCAAACCCAAAGAGGGACAATCAGAGTACTGGTAAATATACACGATCTACTTTTATGTATATATTTTGCAATAGATTGATAGGAACATTTTCCCGCCATTTGGTTCACAGATCAAGTGAGAAAAATTCACCAATAGAGTGAAAAACTGGAGAAGCGATAAAAACCCCAAAATCTAATAAATGTAGGTGTGTGTGTATATACATATATATCATATTTGTTAGATAAATAGATATGATATAGTTTTACTGCTCATTTCTTCCCCTATGTTGCTCACTTCTAACTTGATCTGTGAATAGAATAAGTCTTTATAGGCTGTCCCCTAGCTCTCCGTCATCTTTTATTCCCGTCAATCATTTTTTTTTGTTTGGGGGAGAAGGGGGTTTATTCAGTATCACAAATCAAAACAAACCTGCTCGCCCATTGTACAGCTCTTTTGGTTCAGTACATTTAGTCTTGGAATCAGACCAATCATCTGATTTTCCAAATTCAGACCGTTTGAAGTAAAAACAAATCTGCAAGTCAAATGATCAGATGCCAAGCACAATAAGACTGAAACTAAAGTACATCCTTTCACTTCTCCCTGTCCAGGTGGTTCCTAGTCTGATTCTCCTGCATTGTTTTTTTTTTTTTTTTTTTCTGCATGTCCACTCCACTAAACTTTGAAGTAACACCCCAAGCACCAACACAGCCCACCATGCCTTGGTGTGTTCCTCGTGTGCTTCAGCCATTATAGCGCAGTTAGACAACATACCTGGGTTGCACCTGGTGCTTATGGACACATGCCCACTTTAACCTTTAACTGTGTCACCAGTGGTTTTATGCTTTTCTATTGCTGCATTCGGTTTCAATGTAGTGTCAGTCTGACTGTATTATCAGTGCATACTGTCTAAGCTATACTGTGTTCTGAAACAAAATTAGTTGTCATTTTCTGTGCCCCAATGCAGTGGTTAACCTCCATTTTGACAGTCCAATGCTCTTTTTTTATTCTCTAACGTATCATGTTA